CCCCATTTATCTATTGAAACACCCCTGAAGGTGCACAGTGTCACAAACCCAGAGACACTAAATGGAAAGATAAGGAAGGAGGAAATGTCTGAAAAAGGGAACAAAAAGAGTAAAGAGTATAGGCACCTTCTCTTGCTAATACCATTTGGTAATAGGAGGATGGTTAATTAAAAGTATGCTTTGGTGAACTGCCGCGGGCTCGAACTGTGTTACCAGTTGTTTGATGAGCCGGAGGGGTGATGAACCCCTCGCTTGAGGTCCCCCTTGGTTTGTTCGCCTGGGGTCCCGGACGAATTCGTTCGTAACGGGTTAAGTTGTCAGCAAGCCCCAGTACTGTCGTCTAAAATCCTTGCGTTCAGAACCAAGGACCAGGATCTCGCGGGGGACTCTTTCATCTGCCTGAAGGGGAAAACAGCCTTACACTACACACAAGGAAGGTCCCGGTGATTTCTCTGATTCCGCTTCGAAACACAGCCTATAAGCTTTACCTAGATTTCCTTTGAATTATTCCTAATTTTTTTTGCTTATTTAAATGTTATTGTGTTGTTTCCAGATGTTTTATTCTTTTTTTATCAGTACCTGGCTGTATTATGACTGTGTTTGTTTCACTTTCTCCATAACTTGCGGCGCACCCTTGAGTGTATATCAATAAAAATAAATATATAAATAAATAGATATTCAGACTGCTAGAACGAGAGAAATTTCATCCAGGGTCCCATCAGAACTTTTCAAAAAAAAGTCAATCGCTTTTAACAAAACAGTGAGAAAAAACAATAGTGCACATATACGCCGAGTAAGTTTAAAAAAGGTCAAACAAAAGAGGCACTAATTTTATTGTGAAAGAACTCCAAAGATCAGAAAGAAGCGAACAGTTTTCGCAAAAAAAACATTTTTTTCCAGATTACTCCGGTAGGTGAAGATTAATAAGGTAATAAATGGTTTTCAGAAGTCCAGTACTATACAAGAATTTGAAAAAAAGTAAAAAAAGGCTCCCAGGGTCATTTATTGCAACTCGTTGCCATTTTTGAGTCATTTTTGATTGGGTTTTTTAATTTTTAATAAGTTTTCCAATGCTAAGTAAGTGAGAGACTGGAAGCTTTAAGAGCTGGGACTGAATATTTTGGTTATGCGCCACACCTTGGTGCGCTCGTCGGTGGTTTCTTGAAAGCCATAGGAGAAGTTGGGAAACCAGTCGGCTTATACAATTAATTACTCACAAAAACATATCGAGTTCAAGGCACAGCTTTGCACTTCATACTACGGCATCAGATGCGCACCTTAAATAGAACAGAACATTCGGTTGACTCCATGAACTGTAGCGTAGGAAACTTACCTGCTGCGCTGAATTTCTTGCCAGAAACAGTATACTCTTGTCATCTATACCAGAAATTTTTGACCCCTTGGGTGCTGCGTGCTGCACATGGTGCATGGCGCTCGTGCTGCCCATAGTGCAGCACGGTTCCTTTCGATTTATTTGGCATTTTTCAATAATTCATGGGTGCCAACATATTCTTGAGGTCTCCTGGGACAAAATATATATGTATGAGCAAAATTGCGAGGTTGAAAAAAACCTAAGTTACTGGGACTTTTCGTGAAATACTCTAGGAACTATTATATTTCTTCGTTTATTTCTCAGTAACCAATAACGCCTAAACTTTGGTTGCTACACGACTGAACATTCGTAAAACAATGCAGCTGAACAATACTTGTATACATCGCGTACCGCTTTTAATTCTTTTTGTTTTTATCAACGTTTTTGACGACTGTCGAATTTTTTTAGACCACCGCTTCACTCATGCAACAGTATTCAATTTCATTTGTAATATGTATGCTTATGTATTAGGTTGTCCGGAAAGTTCTCAGCGTTTTGTGCACCTATTTTTTGTACATTCACTGCTGATTAAAAACTCATTCTGCCTTGCTTCTCAGTAGCATATCCTGTAGAGAATTCTTTGCGCTATCTATGTGTTAATACGTCCTTTTAAGTATTCTTAGTCAGCCATGATTGCGACAAGTTTCACATTGCTCTGATAAAACCATTTTTTCAAGAGAATATATTTTTATACAATGCATGGGAATTAAAGCAGCACTTATCGGACGATTTTTTTTCGACTATACAATTGGACGCGCAGAGCGCGCAATTACGGAACACGAAAGCTCTAAGAAACACGGTGGAGGTGCACCCAATAGCTGCATAGAGAAAGCACACTGGTGGCACAATTGGCTATCAACAAAATTCGTTCTTGGAAGATCTTCAGTCCCTTTGTGAAGGCGAACCCTCACATAGTGCGGTCGACCCCTCAGCTAAATGCAAGCAAGAAATGGTGGGAGACCCAAGCACCTTTTCCCAACCCCGGCGGTGCCGTGCCTTTGGAGTCAGACTTTGGATCTCTTATTATTGCTGGACCTTTCACAATGTTCCATTAAAGACAGTAAGATAAACTTTAATATCGCTGCGACGTGCCAGGATGATTTTTGGCACGGCGGCGTCCACCATTTCATCATCTGCGTTGCCACTTTCTGGGGCTGTCTTTAAACAACTGAAATACAAACGGATTGGCAACACGCCGTTCTCAAACTTAGCCTCGCTCCCGAGGACGGCCTCAGCATCCGCAGCAAACAAGACCGTGGTGCTGTCCAATAAGTGATGATGGTACTGGAGAGGAATCTAAGCGAAGCTCTACCTCTGAAAAGCTCACCACAATTCCTCTCCCAGAGGTGTCCACAAACTGGCAGATGACTGATGCAATATGACCGCTGGCTCTTTTTCGTCGAGAGTAAGAACTCCTCTCACTTTTTCCTCCTCCACTACCACCAATACTGCCGGCGTCTCCTCCACCACAGCTATCGTTTTGACTTGAGGTTGCGTGTGGAGAGGAAGCTGAAGAAATTAAAATGAAGTCCCTATCGAAAACAAGTCTTCGAAAAAGACACCTCGGCTACTATGTACTGATCCTGTAGGTGTCTCATGTTCCTCATGCTCGTGTTCGTCAGCTTGATCCGCTTCGCTCAGCATTTCACCGGATGATGGCAGTGGTGAAGCGCATGATTTGACCATGTTGAGCTGCAAACAAAAAGGAACACTTAGCTAATGGGAAAAGTAACAGCAATCTGCAAACCATCACCTCTTCATCCGTGGGCTCCGTTTTCTCCTCAGGCCTTTCCGAAGCACTAGAAAAAAATAGACATTATTGACAAACAAACAAAGAAGCCTCATTGAATTCAAGAAATAGAATTTAGCATGGAAGTAGTAGTAAGAGCCTCTAGCGTAGGCCAGACCCAGGCTAAAGGCTGTGGCGGAGTTCATTTTTGAAACGGTTGGGTGCATACTGCATTTCATGCAAACCACAAACTAGTAGTTCTTTTTTGCTGCGCTCTTCTGTGGTAACGCCAACAAGGGAGAAAAATTCCATGAGTTTACGACTAGCAAGACGATAAGAAGCGTTTCCGCCTTTTAAACAAAAGATTCGGGCACGCCCGTCGCTGAGAGAAATTTTGCTAAATAAGACCCTCCCCCAATTCCCTCCTCTGGTGCGACCTCCCCTTCCCGATCCTAGCTACCATTCACTTACCATACATAAAATCCGACTTGAAGTCTTCAAAAACTTTCCACCTTTTTTCCAAAGCTTTGCCGTTGCGCAGGAAGAAACAGGTCGCCACCAAACAACCACTAAATTCAACTCTAGAACAGCTAGTTACTCTAGAAGAGTAGTTCTGAAGGACCTCGACTGCACCACCAACTAGAGGATCTCGCCCCTATAAAAGCGACGAAGAAATACGATCTCTCGCCTCATCTCCTCCCTCCTCCCTCCCTCCCTCAAAGTCGTGGAAAGCTAAACAGGAGAAA